GTTTCAACAAATAAAATAATTTTAAATGGATAATGTCTAATATTAAACACATACGCAAGAAGTTACAATCAGTATTTTTCGCAATAGGTAGATAAACTTGGCTCAATTTAGGGTATTCGTCTGATTGGTGTTGATAATAATGTTTTCAAATCAGACTTATTCCATGACAGTAATACTACAGTTAGTGTTATGGAATAAGTCTGATTTATAAACATTATTGTTATAAGCTGTAAAGATTAATTTTGGTCAATCTTCTACTTTGACAAAAATTGTTGATTTAACTCCAACTGTGATCGCTCTTTATATACTTTTAAAATTAATTCTTATTTGACATAGATTAATTTAAAATCGGTTCCAAATGTTTTATGTTCATTGAGTAATTATTTTAAACTCTAAAAATAAATATATCCATTGTACAGTTAATCCTCAATTCTACTAATCATTATATTTGTCAAAAATATAACATTCTAACATATATTTATTATTTTAGAAAAAATTGTTACATGTTTTATTATGTTAAATAAATTAATTATTATAATCCCTTTCAGTATTAATATTTTATACTGGATAATTTATTAGTTGACTTATAATATATAATAACCACAATTCACAGCCGCTTGAATTGGGAAAATGTAAGAATTTTATAATAACATATTATGAAACAGTCCAGTTCATATATGGTTTAGAACGTTGTACAAAATGTCATTGACAAAATAACTAGTATATCTCATTAATGTAATAACCCAAAACCCACAGATTAGTTTACCTCATGAATGTAAATAATGAGTAATACTAGTTAAGGTTTAGAGTTTTATTTGTAATCGTCTAATCCTGAAACTTAGAATCTATTTGTAATTTTAATATGCTCAAAAATTAGCTGAACCCAGATATATTAATGCTTAAATGTTTAAATTTCATAGTAATTTTTTGTCTTATATTTAATTTAAAAATATATCTAAAATTTTCATTAATTTAAATCTATTTTCAAAAAGGTATTTATGCAATAATTTTGTATTTACCGGTTCTATTTAATCTAGTAATGACTGTTTCGTATGATTACCAGGTAAACATTAATTATAAAGTTTTATCTGAGATGTCTATAAACTCGACAAAATTAATTGATTTAACTGGTTATGTCCTGAATATTCAATGAATATACCATAACCATACCATTATATTGGTCTGGTATACAAAGTATGAACATGTTTTAAATCAAATAAATAACTGTCACATTGAATAACTTACAAAACACATTTTATTTTATGATCAATCAATTAAGTCGTGGCCAGTGTTTGAAGCCCGAGCTAATTGGGGCGGTAAGTAATGGCACCGATATATAAAATACTTTAATTATAAATATAATATTTGTTAAACTTAATCAAATATTTATGAATAAAATTTTTAATTTATAAAAATTTCATTAATTGTTTTTATTTGAATAACTTAAGTAAATATAATTTTCAGTCTATTCATTAATGTAAAATTCATTAATGTAATTAGTAAAATGTGGTTTATAAAATCGCGCGTCTACCTGTCCCCTTCATATGATTTAACATTTTACATTATTTAAGACTTTGGCAGACAATCGACTTATTACTGCTGTTAAGCGGAGCAAACAATTGCTGCTTAAAGCGTGGGATTAGTTTAAAAATCACTACTTTCTCGGCTCTAGACATAAGACCAGCAAAAACCTGAACAACATTGCCGTCGATCTGATGGTCATATGCATAAAGTTTGGCCAATAAATGAGACAATTGGGTGTAAATGGGCTCAACATCGGCAGCGCTTTCGCATACATTACACACCAATTGATGGGACAAACCCAGAGATGGTAACCATCAGTGACCTCACGAGTGAAGAGTCGCCGGTTGTCTCGTTTCAACTCTTGGCACTCGACTCGAGATGTATTCAACTTCATTGCATTGACTCTTTGGGAGGGGAAGCGCTTCCATCAGCGAAGAGGTGTGTCCTTTGAGCCGCTCTTTGAGATAATGGGACTCGTCATCGATGTATTGAATCGTATCAATGATTACCAAAATAAGGTACAGCGAATTTACTCATCGAGTCATTGGTGGCCCGACTCTGAGAAATGCAATATTGCGGACATCATTGTCGACGACAATAGATTGACAGCAAAGAGCGGGAGATCTGTTGGATCCGATTGGCCATCAATTGGTCAATAAGTCGGAGACATCGAAGAGTTGGCCAAACTCTTGGTCGTCATCGCAGTTATCGTTAATTATCTGCAGCGACGAAGTGATGGCCGAATCGATTCGGTGTAGACATTGATTGTCTGGACCCGAGTTTAAGACAGCCATCGCTTCGCGGGAATGACATCACGTCTTGCGGGACATTCATGTCCTCATTGGGAGGACAGAGACGATCCGACCAATCGATCCAATCGTCTAAATACTCTTCGTATAAACAGCGGATCCGTTTACTCACGAGTAGAGCGAAGCGACAGTCCTATTGCCAATCGAGTTTTGAGGTGTACTCGTTTGCGGTCTTCTTCGGCGGCCATCGGCTTAACGCCTCGACACTCATTCTCGCGGATCAGTTGGCAGTAATGTCTTCGGTAAATAGTTGCGTCCAAATCAAGTAATACTTTTACTAATAATTTAAACTTTTTTCGCACTTAAAACGTGAAAACAAGTGATTATTAAAGTCGGACTCAAAGACGTTGCGGTCTCTCAAAGATAGTGAGGTTAAGACTCACTCTTTGGATGTGATTATAATGACAACACTTAATGAAAGCGTAAAAAATTGAGACAATTTTTTTTGTGTCAAACAATTGTTTACAACTGATTATTGAAAACAACAATAGCTTTGAACTGAAGTCCAGAAACTGAATAAATGAATGCATTGAAAATCAATTGTGAAATTAATCAGTGGTTCATTGCCCACCAAATTGTCCTAGCTCGGATAAGATCTACCCGTGCACATGTACAATGGACACGGTCACCGGTTTCTTCCAGCTCAGTATAATTAATACAAACTTGACGTCTATGCCGGCCAACGCTCGGCCCCCGGCACTGATATGAGTGACCATAGCTGGCAACAAACGACTGACCTGTTTTGGTGAAGGGGCGGTTAATCTCAGGGCAATTAGTTTTAATGTAAATCTTTAAAGTAAAGCTATTGTCGACCTGTTGGTGCTATCCAACTGGTGCCAAGTAATTATGCTGTGCTCGACCTGAGCGGCAATCTGTTGTCCTCCCGGCCGATGAGCGCCCAGACATTTACCGGTATAAGTGATGGCAGTTATACTTCTCTATTCGTTTACAGCGACGGCTTTCAATGCGTGAATCGTACGGCATTTGAGCCGTACCTGAGCTCCAGTACTCATCACAGGCTCTATTCGGACACCGACTGCGCCGACAGTCGTAACGATTGGTTGCGCGAGAAATATGCCAAACAATGTTTTGATAGGTATTGCAAATAAACATTATTTTATAACGGTTTAAATATTACCCCCTTTTATGGTAACCCCTGTTTTGACACAAACGACAGATACCTGAGCTGTCATTACCTGTCATTACCAGTTACTACCCGTCCTTACATACAAACACAAGCATCGGCTCCTATTCCCTGAATTCCTAAGATTGTCACCTAATATACCTGTCATACAATTCTTATACAACTCTGTATGTACTCATTTGTACTCTACTAATGCACTCACTATATGTACACTATATAAATCCCGAACCATATACTGTATCCCTCAATGTTGTGCTAGACTTCAAACCCGTAAGTCTTCACTCATTCACACAATACATTCATACATAATAAATGGTGTTATCATTGGCAACATTGTGTGCTTATATGACCCTAAGGTTTGGGGTATAAGTAGCGACCGGTTCCGCATATTCGCGATCCCCGTCCAGTCCAATACTGGCCGTACGGAACGCAACAATTTAAATATAATTTTTATGTAACAGAACTGATACTAGAATTTAATAAATAACTAAAATTATGTTGATTAAAAGTATTTGAAAAATGTGTTATCCATAATAAAATGTAGCATAAATAATTAATTTTTTCAAAATGTATAACCAACATTTAATTTATTTTTCAAATCAGGATATGCACTAAAAAGTTGTATTTAATGAATGGAGTAATGAATTAATTTTATAATCTAATCTATTTGTAACAAAACTTTACAATTAAATTGTATTAACCATAAGGACATTTGTCCTTAGAATTTATTACTTGTTCTTGTAATCCTGTAATCCCATTGCATATCAAATGCTGTGTGAGTTTGTAAGCATTAGGGATGGCAATAATATATTGTTAAATAAAAAGTAATAAAACTAATCGTAATGAATCATTACTAATGATATAATAATTAATTTTAAACTTATTTTAAAAAGATATAATCTATTTTTGTTCTCAATTCATTATAAGAAATAAACATTTAGCAGTAGTATTTAGCAAAAAATAGTATTTTACCATCAACAATTAAAATTTAAAATAATTATACTTACTGTACAAATTAAAAAGCAGTAGTAATATGTTTAAGTTTTGCTAAATGAAACAAATATTTATGGTTGTTATGTAATGTTATGTTATATTATTAAAAATGTATAACTTCCGTAATTTGTATCGAATTTATCAATATATTAAAATATATTTGTAAAATTTTATGTAATTATGCTAACCCATTATATATATTTGTATCAAATATAATAATATTATCATATGTTACAAGTAAGAATATACAATCTATCTTCGATATAAGAAAGTTATTTTTACGGTATCTCTTGAATTCAATACCAGCCAAATCAATGCTACTTAAATAAAAAATGTATTGTAAAGTTAAATAAGATAAGTTCCCTTCAGATTAAATAACAGGTAAATAAGATAAAGCACATCAGGATTGAGGATTAAGTACATTTTGAACACCTATAAATTGAGAAAATATGTCTATGCTACATAACAAGTCTATAAGATATTCATATAATATTCATAGAAGTTAAATTTTTAAATAATAAATTTTCGAAATGGGTAAGTTTAAAATAAATACCATATAAATCATAATAATATACAACAATAATAAAAAATTATACAAATTCCCCTCTAGGTCAATGTCAACTAATCTACACGTTATTTGTCATAACAATATTTTCGCTGGGCGAATCATACCCGGACCCCAACTGCCCGGCGCCCAGCGACATCGCACCATGCACATGTTTCAGAGAAATTGTACCCCCCGTAGGGTATAACGTATACATATACTGCGAAGGCACCGACACGTTAGACTTGAAGGCCATGTTTCACCGGCTGAGTTCGGGGCCGGGTTTCTACCGGTTTAGGCTAACAAACACGCAAATCAGTGAATTGCCGGCCGATATGTTTGGCAACGTTCAGTTCGCTGAGATCGAGATACGCACCCATAGCCTACGGCGCGTACACTCCCGGGCATTGTCCGGACCGGTCGGCCACGCATTGAATAGCCTATACATCAATGACTCGCCCATTGGTGACGCTGACGGCGATTATGATCTATTCAAAGCCCTGGCGCCGGCCGTCAACCTACACGAGCTGAGTCTAATCAACACCAGCCTCACCGCGATACCGGCCAACGCCCTGCACTCGGCCCCCGCGTTGCACAAAGTGACCATCACTGACAACACCCGTTTGACCAGTTTGGGGAGCCGTGCGCTTAACCTGACGAGTCAGCTGTTGAGCGTAAACTTGCGAAATAATCGTATAGACAATGTGTCGGCCGACGCCATACGACTGGTGCCCACATTTGCCGCTGAGCTTAACGTTAGCGGCAATCCGTTGTCCTCCCGGCCGATGAGCGCCGATATGTTTGCCAGTATTGCAAAAGGCAATAGTGTTTCGCTCTATACTTACGGCGATGGCTTTCAGTACGTGAATCGTACGGTATTTGAGCCGTACCTGAGCTCTAGTACTCAACACCGGCTCTATTCGGACACAGACTGCGCCGACAGTCGTAATGATTGGTTACGCGAAAAATACGCCAAACAATGGTTTGATAGGAATTGTAAATAAATAACACTAACTTTGATTGTTTTTATAAATAAAAAACTTATGTTAAAATGCATTAAATAATTTATATAATCTTGTTTATTAATGTATTATCTATAATTAATTTATATTATCTTGTCTTCAATTAAAGTTAAATAAAATTCTATTAATGTTTTGTTTTGTTTTATTGTAATCATAATTTATTATTTGGTGTTTTTTATTAGTGACCAAAATGTTTTAACTTATTATTTTAACTTATTATGTTGTTAATGTTTTAACTTATATTCTTAAATTATTTTACAGTTACAAAATACAAAAATATTATGATTTATTATTAATCAAATAATTTTAATTAAACAATCATTGTTTGAGAATATTCCAGGCAAGTTTGTTTTTCAAATATAATGTTTAATTAGCAAATTTTTAAGTGACATTCGCAATTTTATTACAAAACAATCCTGTTTACATGATAATTTTTACCATATAATGATTTACCTCAACTGTATCTGTACAAAAACTATATAAGTAAACGATATACATTGCAACTTTTATTAGCTATAGTTATTTTCATTGCTATTTTAGTAGTATTTAAAACAATTAAAAATTTACAATTTAATCAATTTGTATTATAAATTTATCAAGCCTAAACATTTAAGTTAGAATTTTTGATATTAATTATTAAGGTATTATACAAATGTATAATATTTGTATTGAGTATTAGTAAAAATAATAATGCAATAAACTAACTAGATCTGTGCAATTTATAACAGGACGAGCTAAACCAACCATGTCAACATTACCTACAGTGGGCTACTTTGCGAGGAGGGGTCGGGCGCAGTCAATACGCTTACTATTGAAGTACGCGAACATAAAGTTCACGGACAAGCGCTACGCCTACCCTAAGGACTGGCAGTCGGAAAAGTTTACACTGGGTTTGGACTTTCCTAACATTCCCTACGATATCGACGGCGACCTCAAATTGACCCAAAGTATGGCTATAATGCGATATTTGGGCGAAAAGCACGGCCTGTCGGTCACCGCTGACCCCCAACGGGCCGTACAAGACATGGCTGAGCAACAGCTTCAGGATGTGTTTGAGGGATTGGTGGCCATAATGTATGGACGGGGCAATGGAGAGGCCAAACCACCGG